GCTGGAGAGCGTACTTATCTTATAATTAATTAAATTAAAATTTTTTTTTATATAAAAGAAAATAATTATAAAAGTAAAAAAATATATTCGGAAGACCGGTATATTAAATTAATTATTTACCGATATTCGGCCCGATATTACTTTTATTATTAACCGCTTTTACGGGAATAATTTTAGGCCCTTATTATATTATTTAAAATTAATAAAATATTTTTTCCGGTATTTAATTATTATTAAAAAATTATATATTATATTAGGAAGCTCCGAATTTTCGGTAAAAAATATAAAATTTATAGGATTTATAAATATTTTATATATAAATATTTTATTTTAAAAATATTTTATTAATAACTATATTATTTTTATAATTAATAAATTAGTATTATAGAAAAGTAAAAAATAGACTTTCGTTACTTTAAATATAATAAAAATAAAGTTTATTAATTTAATATTTATAAAATATTTATTATAATAAATATTAAAAATATTAAAAAACTATAATATATTATAATTAAAGTTATATATATTATATACCGATAGTAAGAACGCCGAAATTATAGTTTTAAACCTTTAAAATATTATTAAAACCTAATATATTAATATACGGTATAAATAAATAAATAAATAAATAAAGGAAAAAAAATTTAATATTTAATATATTTTTAAATTAAAAATATTAGCGGATAAATTTATAAAGGTATTATAAAGGGAGAAGTATATAAAATTTATATAGTTATTAGGAATATAAGATTTTCCGGTTTAAAATATATAAAAGAATGTATATTTATATAGGAAAAAGGTTACTAGGGTATTGGGCAAAAGAGTTAAAGGAAGTAAAAGAATCTAGGCGTATATTGGGCTTCGGAGGATATTAGCGATAGCTTTATTTTGGACGGCGGTGTGCTGTCTGTGGGGGGGTGTGGGGCACTAAAGGGCCCAGGTTTTCCCAGACCCACACCGGTTTACTCTTGGGGCTGGATTTTCTTACTGTTTACTTTTTAACCAATAACCAACTACTGTAATACCAATTTGCTTACCATTTTTTGGCCATTTTAGCCTCATTTTCGCAGCCAGTGACTTTCCTAGGTCGCCAGCCCAACACCACCTTACTCACCAAACTGCATCGGCGGCATGCCTATTGCAGACTTGGCGCGGCTGATCAGATAAACCGATTGGGCCACCGTTTGCTGCAGAGCTTACACGCTTGCACCTTGCAGCATGGGTGCAATATCATGGCCACTGTCTGGGATCGGGGTTGGTCCCATAATCAACCCCTATTATTCCCTTTCTGAGCCTCGTGTCCCAACCTTTCCACCCGGGATTCCCCTGACTTTCGCCGAGGACCCGAGTTGCTGGCATCTCGACGGACCCGACTCACACCCAGGTGTGCACGCAGTCTCAGTTGGGGGGCTGAAGTGAGGCCTCCACGTATGGATTTTCATCGTGTTTCTCGTAAATGTAGCCATTCACAGTCAGCGTGGCCCATCATTTACCCTACAACCCCCACGATGGCCTCAACACTCTGATCACATCATCTCTCAAAAGTAGTAGCAATTCTTTGGTTCGGGTGTTGAACTGACTTTTTCAGCATTCGGTTCTCCCACCGCTGTCCCCCTTCTACGGACCGTATCTTATGTATACCTACCCATGACTCCAACTCTCCATCATCACGGGCGCCCAGCGTCAACCGCCACATCGCCAGAGGGTGTGTTGAGACACGAAGCACTCTCCGGACATAACTGTATTACCGGCATCAGCACCACCGGTTCCCCGCCCCTTTTTGTGTAACCCACAACGCAGCAGGTTGAATCCTTCAGCGTCCTCGACCATGGAACGGCCCTCTCTTCCGACTTCCGGCCGCGTCAACAATATACGGCAATCCGTGAAAGAGGCTAGGTGGGGGTCATTTCTACACGGGTGTTTCCAGTCTGCTTTTCAAGGGAACCTGGCTCCAATGCAGGATCGGACTCCATGTTGAGCTTGATTGCTGTTTGCTTATCTCTTCGGACTGGACGTTGGTTTCATGGAACTGATTACCCCACAGAGTAACTCAGCAGAAGACAGCTTGTCGGGATCGACCGTGTCGCACAGTGTGCTTTCTTACTTGCGTCTGCTGTGAGACACAGCCGATGCTCTGTCTCGCCCACCTATGAACAGCAGCCCTATAGACACAGTGAGTGCATGTTGGGCGACACAACAGCTCCGGAACAGTCTTTCCGGTGCCGTTTCTGCCAAGATTATGTGTAGGGCTGGCGTCCTGGAACTTCAGTCCTCAACGGCGCAAAATTAGCCCCCTATCTAAACCCCTGAGCCGGGTGGTAAGATTCACAACTATGGTTTTTGTTCCAATGAATTATAACGAGAGTAGCAGTGAAGTAACTAGGCACATATCCAATGGCAAAATACGCTGTTACCACCTTGGCATCATCCCACAACCCCTTCGCTCACCATGCTTCTCATAGTCGCAATGGTCGCGTTAACAGCCAGCTGAGTGGTCTATCCGCCAATGTTTGTTAGCAACCCTGCACCCTCTGATCACAGACAACCCGTCCAGGAGGGCACTCACCGCCCAATCAGCCTCCCTCTGTTTCGCTGCCTCTTCACTGCCCGCTTCCAACTCGGGATGTCGCCACTCAAAAATATAAGTGTAGTTCAAATCCTGAGCTTCAACACCAGGGCCCCGGCTCACAGCGTTGATGATTGCGCTTCCGTCTGCGCCCACAAAGTCAACACGGCATGGCTCAAAAAAGTGGCATGTTTCGACGGCGTTCTCGGCGCCGGCGGGGTGGCCGCCGGGAGCAAATGTTATGCGTCGCTTGAGGGAGACGACTGTTTCTCCTTCTTTGGACTCGGAAAGGATCTCGGTCTTGGTGATTGCTGGCACGAAATGTTCTGCGTGTCGGACTTTGCGCTTGATGCACTCCCAGATTTGAGACTGGGTGAGGACTGGGGAGGCGCCGGGGGGGTTTATTGGGGCGGTGTAGGAGAGGTTGAAGGTTGCCATTTTCGCTTCAGTATTGCCTCGATATTGATAACATCATGGGATGGCGTAGGTAGGCTGATGTTGAAGAGCATTGTTGTAAGCTGTTGTGGTGAGAACCCGAGTTGGTTGAGGGAGGACCCGAGTAATGATGAGGGGCTATTCCATCATGATGGGGGTATAAGCCAGCAATGAGCTGTCGGAGCGGAGCAGAGTCTCTACCAATCTGCACACATGCAGCGAATTTGCATTGTACCTACCTACCAAAACGTTCATCATGGATGTCCTAAAGGGCTTTACTGATCGAACCGCGAACCTGAGCAGTATCCTCCTTGCCGTTGGTGCGGGTGTTGTCATCCTCCGGTTACTGCACACCCATTCCAGGCTCAGTCACATACCCGGCCCGGCATCCGCCGCACTCACCGACTTTGTCCGCCGATCATGGGTTGCGGCGGGAGATGTCCATCAGAAGCATACTGATCTGCATCGTCGCTATGGAACCGTCGTCCGGGTTGGTCCCAATGCCGTGCTCATCTCTCAGCCCGATGCCGTTGATAAGATTTATGGTTTCAAGGCCAAGTTCCTGAAGGTACGGTCTTGTCTGCCGCTTCAACGGCTCTAATTCTCATCCGGCATATCTCAGTCCGAGTTCTACGACTCGATATTACCCCGTATGAAAGGCGCCAAGATTCCCGATGTCTTTGCGACCCGCGACGAGGACCTTCACAGGCGCATGAGAAGACCAGTTGCTAACCTCTACTCCATCGCAAACCTGACGAGGTTTGAACCGCTGGTCGTCTCCACCATCGAGTATTTCTTTTCCAGACTCGATGAGATGTTTACTGACAAGGGGCGGGGGTTTAACCTCTCAGACTGGCTGCAACTCTTCACGTTTGACATCATGGGCGAGGTTACCTTTTCAAGACGATTGGGGTTCCTTGAAAAGGGTGGTGATATCGAGGGTGTCATTGAGAATAACTGGAAATATTTCCGAGATGTGGCAGCGGTGAGTTCATATTTACCCTATGACAGTGAGATTGTACTTGTCTCTACGAGCACTAACGACGATACAAGAACACTCAGACACCATGGCTGGACAAGTTCTGGAAGGACAACCCGCTCATTCCAGTCTCTGCCAAGAGGAATCCTCTCGCCGAGTTCGGCGCGGCACGAATCCAGGAGCGGCTTGCGTTGACAGAGGAAGAGCGTGAAAACATCAACCAGAAGGACTACCTCTCCGCTTTCATCCGTGAGGCTGGGAAAGATCCTACTCTTCCTGAACTGTGAGTACTTGCACCAAAGTCAGCCAAATATCCAAAACTTACGACCATTAGTGCCCTCCCCACGTGGACAAACTCCAACATCCAAGCAGGCGGTGACACCACCAGCATCATGGCAAGCGTGGTGCTGTATCATCTTCTCAAGAACCCCAAAACGCTGGTTACCTTGCAAAAGGAGATTGGCAGTGCCGCACGGGAAGGACGTATCTCCAAGTTGGTGACATGGAAAGAGTCACAACGGTTGCCATATCTCGATGCTTGCGTGAAAGAAGCGTCGCGCTTACATCCGCCGATTGGGTTTCCCTTGGAGCGTATTGTGCCTCAAAGCGGTTTGGAGGTTGATGGGTACTTTATTCCACCAGGAACGAGAGTCTCTATGGTAAGGCTGTCCCAGCGAGCATATGCTTACACCTTGTTAACCCTGTACTACCCACAAGAATCCATGGGCAGTCCACCGAGAAGTAGGCCTCTACGGAGATGACCCTGATGTCTGGCGACCCGAGCGTTGGATGTGCGGTGAGGATAAAAAGAGGACTATGTATAACTCGCTGTTGACAGTGCGTTTCTTCCCTCGTCCACCCTGTAATGCGATTACTTGAGATTAACTCCGTCAGTTTGGAGCCGGTCACCGCGTGTGTTTGGGCAAGAATCTTTCGTACTTTGAGGTGTACAAGATCATCCCCTCGTTGTTGCAACGGTACGAGGTAAGTGAACATGACATTCTTGCACTTTCTGCGAGCTCTATGCTGAGTCTAGATACACACAGTTTGAGCTACTGAACCCCGAGCGAGAGTGGACGCTGGAGACAAAGTGGTTCACGATGCCTTCGGGATTCCATGTTCGTATTAAGTCTCGGAGATGAGGTTGGGTGAAAGATAAGGCGTGGCTCAGGGATACGTATGTAATGGAATCTGAGGTTGACTACTGCCGCGACTAAAATGTTTGACTCCGAGAAGGTTCATGACAGTGATGGGTACATATGAGAGAGTCTTGGGATAGAGACTATGACTTATGTACTTTACATAGCACGTTCCTGATTATCACTCACAGCGATTCTACGCTGCTTGAAGCTCTAGGTAGGATAGTCGAAGCTTTCCACGGAATTTCAGTTGCTCTTCCATCTCTCAAGAATGAGCTATGCCACTCTCAAGACGATTACCGAGTCTTCATACTCCTCCCTATACTTCAAAATCTTGACCACTTCGAACCCTGTTGAGCTTGCAAGTCTCCGCCATTCCGCCTCGGTACGTTCCATGGCCGCCAAACAGACAGCCATTGTCATGTCTCCCAACGTCACCCTCCATGGAGCCCCAACGCTTGACACAACAATGTCGTCAATTAACACCACGGAGTCTTTGGACAACGCTGGCTTGAGGCTCTCAAGAATAGCTTGGCACTTGTCATCGGGCCAGTCATGGAAGACATTTCGGAAGTAGTAGGCCCGGGCGTCTGTTATAGACTTGTGAGCTTAGAATATCAGGGAGAACAGTAAGAGCAATACCTTTGATGGTCTGAGAGGAAAACATATCATGAACATCCGTCTCAATGTTGTCGAACCCTGGAAGAGGATCCGTCTTGACTTGCTCAATCGTATGAGGGAGATCCTGCAGAACCACACGCCCCCGCAAGTTCGGATATCGCCGTCTCAATGCAATGCACTGGTGGCCTCGCGAGCCGCCAATATCAACAAAAACAACCGTCTCGTCGTTTGAATCCTTTGCAAACTCCTGGTCAAACGGCAACACATCCAAAAAGGTTGACCGAGGATCCCTCTGCACCGACATCCATGTGTTGAAGTGCTGGAGGGTGTCCGGGTGGTCCTTGATCCAATCAAACAGTGTCCGCTCGGTTTGCAGTCCCAGATTGAACGGTGTGTACTTTGCGTTAGTGGGGTTGGCATAGTCGGTTTCTCGAAGAAACTGGGGAAAGGCCAGGAGGGACTGGGCAACCAGGTCAGACTGGAAGCAGATGCCAGCTCGCCCACCCTCCCACGCTAATGCTTCCGTGACATTATTGGGGGCGAATTCATCTGGCCCCTTTTGCAAAATCATGCCGACGGACTGGTAGTACCTCAACAGCCGTTCTGTCACGGAGTTAGCACGGATAGAAACTCCGGGTGTGATAGTTATGTGCTCCTACGTGTTAACACTAGGTCGACCTTCCTCTCCCGTGCAAGCTCAACCGATGAGGTGCCATTATTGACCACAAGAAACCGGAAAATACCAGTATCGACACCCACACGGGCAAGGGCTAGTTGCATCGGCTAGATGAGGTCGTGTGTCAGCGAAGTGTGTGGCTTGGAAAGGGGTTTCTCCGTGCTGACACACCGAGTAGGCAATCCTGTGAATCACATCGTTATGCGTTTCCAAGGCGAGGCTCAGCTTGGAGGCTGCGTCTCTCAGCTTACAGCGTACCGCGTCATCCCGGATTGACGCGAGTGCGTGAGGACTGCCGATGGCTGCCTCAATCTTGTCAACCAGGGCAATAGCGTCGTCGGTGGTGAAGGTCATGGTTTCGGTACCAGGGCAAAGGAAGTTACAGGGGCGAAGGAAGCATGGAAAACACATGGTCAGGTGTCATAGAAGTCAAATCGTAATATTAGCTACCACATGGCTGGGACCTACCCGTGATGCGGTGGCTGCAGGACCTACCTCGGCTAGGACCTGCGTTGAGTGGGCATTGGCTGATCTAGCTGCGGATTCTCGATACCAAGAGATCACTAGATCCAGCCGTCGAGCATCGCAACAAGGAACTCCCTTGTGCAAGTAATACCTTCAAATTTCATCCGTCGTCTCACTTCTTGCGGCGTGGGAGCTTGCTGCGCCAGGTCGTGCATTCACCGAATTGGGCGTTCTAGCACTTTTGAAGTGCAACTCGGGTCCCTCTACCGAACAAGGGGCGGCAGCCTTACTCCCAACGGCTTGTTCACCGTGAGATCCTACACGATCATTGGCCAGCTACACATCCGCCGATTTCCGGAGGATCATGATGGTAATCTTCCCAACCAGACGGGATACCAAGGAAAAACCAAGCAGTCAGGGCGATAGCCTGGGAAGCCCTGCGGCGAAGCCAAGACCGGTCATGCCAACAGGCGAGCGTTCAGCCCTACCTGTCAGCTCCTTGATAGCTAATGGCTTGCAAGGTCAGGAAGCGAACGAGTCGAGAGTAGCATAAAAGCCATGTCATAGACGCAAGATTTCAAGAATTCTTCAGGTCGTTCAGACTCACCTCTCTTGTACACCTAGTGTCATCTGTCAGTCGTTTCCGTCAACATGGTTGGCAGCAGCAACGTCGTTCGTTCTCTCGTTTCCCTTTTGTGGGCCGCCTCGCCTGTCATCAGTGGGGCTTTACCAGTCCACTGGGCCGGGTTCGAGCGCCAAGAGACCGGCTGGCCTACCTCCATAGACGACTCAGTTTTCAACTCGTCTTGGCCTTCCTTTGGAGAGAAGTCCCAGAGATGGAATGCCTACATGGCTCCAAGCTTCAACCAAGTCTTTCTCCCAGAGACGGAGCAAGTCCTTTCTGAGGGGGTGTGTTTTCATCACCACAAGCTGTTGGAACACTTTCAGTTAACGCATGACAGCTTCGGTACATGACAAGCAACAACATCTCGTTTCTCGCCAAGTCAGGTGGGCATGGCTATTCTATCGAGCTCGCTGCCGCACAAAATGTGGTCATGATCAACATGGAGAAGTTCAACTACTCCAGGGTCAACGCTGACGGGACGGCCACCATTGGCAGCGGTGCCACCTTTTTGGACTTGATTCGGCCTCTGGCGGCTGCTGGAAGACAAGTCAGTAAGTCAAAGCAACTCCATCTGCAAACTCCATTCTTGATCTAACATTTTTCAACCAGCTACCGGGTCCTGTCCCTGCGTTGGGGCAACTGGAGCCATGTTGGGCGGTGGTGTCGGCAGGCTGCAGGGTCTCCACGGTTTAACAAGCGACAACGTCCGCAAGGTTCGCATGGCTCTGTGGAACGGCACTGTGATTGAGGCTTCAGAAAAGGTCAACAAGGACTTGTTCTGGGCCGTACGTGGTGCTGGCCAGAACTTTGGCGTTGTCATCGAAACCACATTTCAGACATATCCCGCTGTGAACGGTGGGATGCACTACGAGGCAAACCTGGCCTTCAGCGTCGATAAGGTCAAGAAGATCATTGACGACATGAACGCTCTTGTCCCGCTCCCTGCGCCACTGTCTTTGATTCTGGTTGGCAGTGTTGATCCTAGCACTCTCGAGGTGAGTACCCACCTATAGGTGGTGATTTTGGATGAAAGATTAGTACTAACATGTTCGTGACAGACCATTGTGGCGCTTAACCTCGTCTATGCCGGCCCCCGGGAAGAGGGACGCAAGTACACTCGCCGCTTCCAGAACTACAGCCTTTCCGTCGAAGAAAACATGTACTCTTGGGACGAGCTCCCCATCAAGGGCGCCGGTGGCATCACCTTGATCAAGTGCGCCAAGGGCCAGAACCACGTCATGTACGGCCTGGGCACCAAGCGGCTGGATGCCCCCTCATTTGTACGGCTGTGGAGCGAGTTCGGAGATTTCATCAAGGCCAACCCGGCTGCCAACTCCAGCACCTTCTTGGTCGAGACATTTGCTCAGCAAGGCATCAAGAAGCTTCCCGACGATTACAGCGCCTTCCCCCACCGTGATGGTGTTGAGCATCTCGTCGAGTTTGAAATTGCCTTTGACGACACCTCTGTTTCAAAGGCTGCGGATGCTTTTGCCAAGCGCTGGAGGGATCACTTTGCCCAGCCCAAGGTTTCTGGATACAAGGAGACTCACATCTACCAAAACTATGCTCATGGCGATGAGCCTCTTTCACAGCTGTACGGACGCGAGAAGTGGCGCCAGCAGCGCCTCACCGCGGTCAAGAACAAGTTTGACCCCCGCGGCGTGTTCAGCTCGTATCACCCCATTCCCCAATCTCTGGACGCTTGGCGTTGAGTTCCTTACCTAGCTGAGCGGCTCCTTCAACCCCACTGTCGACAACAATTTTCTTACTTGTAATCAGGATGGCAGATCTCACAATTTTGGCGGATTTTAAGATTCACACTTCCATAGACAGCTCTGCACACGCGGATACACATTTCTGTTTTCATAGCTTTCATCATCCAAGCAACAGTTGTAGGACAACATATACAAATTATTTCTTTGTTCATAAACCAGCCTCAGTGATCCCGACCATGCTCCTTGTATCCCAGAACTTCACCAGGCGCAGCCCAGCTTCCTCGAACAAGGTCTTGAACTCGGAAGGAGTCCTCTCAATCCCGTTGATGGTCGCCATGAGACCAATATCCCGGTTGTGGCAATAACGGACATGGTACCCGTAATTTGCTGGGAGCGGACTCGGTGCTGCTTCAATCTCATCGCAGCCAAAAGTGGTATTCATGACGGGATCACATATCAGAATTCTTGATTTGGGGCCCATGGAAGCCTTGACAGCTTTGAGAATGCTCACGCAGTAATCATCAGACCAGTCATGTCTAGAACTGTTAGACAGTAGAGCACAGAACAAAAAGGGACCAAATCTTACAGAATTCCGCGTAGCCAGTAGACATCCGCGTTCTTCACTGGGTTTTCGGTAAAGAAATCATGGGGCATGAACTTGACTCTCCCTGCAGCCAAGGCATCAGGGGCTTTAGCCGGGAATATCTCGCGTTCGCCCCTCTCCACGTTTTCCGGCCGGTCTTGAACGACAAACTTGAGCCGGGGATAGATTGGTAGGAGTTGCAAGACGAACCCCCCTGTTGGCTGTCAGCTACCAGGTGTCTTACCATGGACGCGAAAATACGTACCAACTCCACCACCGACATCCACAACCAGCCCATCTCCAAGTTCACCCCACGGAAAATCTACCTCCCAGTCAGTCAGTGTACTTGTTCGCCCCACCAACGTAGCATAAGCGGGTAACAATATCTCACCATACGCATGCGCAGTACCCGACGCCTGACCACCCCCCAACATAGCCAAAGCAAAGTTCTCCAACTCCGGCCTACCCACCAGACCCTTGTGATCAAACGAGACAGGAAAGTTCGCCAACTCGGGCACACCAGGGTACCCAGGCCCATCAGAAGTGACCTGATCCGAAGGCAGTCGCTGTGTCATCCACTCCCAAAGCGGCCTGTCAGTCCCCATGGCGTGATGGAACGCCGTCTCCTCCACCTTGTAAGACGCGCCCTTCGGCCCGACAAGGTAGCGGGGTAGATGCTCCGCCGCCGCGGACACGTGCAGACCGCTGTTGCATCCGGTGTCAGTAGGCGCGTCAGTGAGGGAGGGAGGGGGGGGTTCATCTTACAATAATTGCACATAAGCCCGAAGACCAGGGTTTTGCACCAGACGAAGCGGAAATGCGGTTATTGGCGAAGCGGCCCTCGGCGACTTCAGTGAAGATGTGGATTGCGCAGAGTGTACGCAAGATACGAGCTTTTTGACGTCTCAGTTCTCTCTCTTAACTGATGGCTACTTCCTGATATCAAAAGGACTTACCTAATTTCCGGTGCTCAATCTTGGTCTTTTGCCCCAAAGTCTCAACATCCAACCCCCCCTCACCCGCCTCGGCAAGCAAATCCGGGATCCTGCGCTCAGCCGCAATGAACAGAGCCCTTGATTCCATGTATTGGGTTAGCACCTGCTGGATCCGTTGGTGTGGCTCTGAGACTAGCTCGACTAAAACCCCCGAGACAGCCTCGATTGTCCTCTCGGCGTCCCAGAGCTTTCGACTGGGGAGGATCCTGGCTGTTGCTTCATGACTGTGGTGTCCACCGCTTGCTTTGCCGTTGGGAATGTCTGATGGTCCGTCAAAGACTTCTTTGCTCCACTCTTCCTCGACAGTCAGGGCCGCGTCACGGAGTAGGTCCGATAGCTTGAGGAGTTTGTCGGCGTCTTCGGATGTGCGAGGGAAGCGCTCCATGATGTGATTGCAGTTATTTTCGACACGGCAAATGCTGTACTTGGAAATCTTCAAGATGGACTGAATGTGCACTGACCATGAATCAATTGGCTATCTATTAACTGCTATGAACCACCGAGCGAAGGACAGACCTGAGTTCTGTGATGTTGATTTCTCAGGACAGTCAACACCAAGGTGGGTTCAGGACCCGAGTTTGTCTTGGTTTCTCGGGCAGAACCCTAACCCGCCGCCAACTGGAGGCAAAGGAAAGATGTTTAGCTTTGATGACAATAGAGTAGAGACGAATGAAATGCAAGCTTCGCGTCTTCTGAAGTTGGCTTGTCTTAGCGCACATACTGGGTGCAAAGGAGGGCTCATTGCGAATAAAGAACGCAACTTGGCTTTAACCCGTGCCGGGCTCATCACAACCGGTCATCGCCATCAAACAAACAGATTATATAAGCAGAGATGACGTGAAAGATGCACGGTAGCAGAAGCGATGCAATCGTAAACTATGTAGGCAACGACCCTCATTGTTTACATCGTGATATCCCCCTTTTGTGGGGCAAGTGGGTAGAAATTGTGCATTCCCGCAGTGGACCCACGCAATTCAACCCCATCTCTCAAACAAGCTTCACGCCTAGAAGCCTAATAAAAGCTTGGCCTCGGCTAGATAACTTCATTGAAACCGGACCTGAAGTTTCAATAGATCCTTCTCTACGATTTCCTTTCTCCTGGCCATCAGCTCAGGCATATCCCAAGCGCAGCTGATATACCTCCCAGCCAACCACTCCCGTCGCTCGCTGGTCAGAAACACAATGCTATCACCGGCCAGCTCAGGAGTATCATGACACACAGCTGCCGTTCAATTCTTGTCAGCTGCGGTATGTAACCTCAAACACTCTGCGGGGTGATGACCAACCTTGAACGATTTCTGCTGGCATATTGTTAGCGAGATCAGTCGCCACTGACGCCGGGTGAACAGAGTACACCAGCAGGCCCCTGGACTCGTAATCCACCATCAGATACTCGGACAAACGCAGCACCGCCAGCTTAGACGGCTGATAGGCACTCGCACCGGGGGTCAGCGCCAGGGCTCCGACCGAGGTGAGATTGACAATCGTCTTGTCCTTGCTCTTCAGGATAAGAGGTAGAAGCGCACGAATGACCCAGTAGACACCACGCACGTTGACCTCCCACGTCAACCACCAGTCATCCCTGTCCCCTTCGCCCAATGGCACAAACGGTGCCAGGTATCCCGCATTGTTGACAAGAATGTCAATGTGCCCCCACCTAGAGGCCAGCTCCTGGGCGCATGCCTCGATGGTGTCATGGTCGTTGACGTCCAGCCGGAGGATGAGAAATTCAACGTCATCTCTCCCCGCCTTTGCAGCTGCTTGGAGGGCCTCGGCATGGGTGGCGGATACGTCCCCGCGGGCGGTGATGGCGATGCGATTGGCCCCCGCCTTGGCGTAAGACGCAACAATGGCTCGACCGATGCCTTTGGCGGCGCCGGTAACGAGGATTGTCCTTCCAATGCATGGCGCGGGGGTGATGCCGGAAGGATCAATCTGGGCATATGTGTCGCTGTGGGTCTGGGAGGTGAAGTTCACGCCCAGGCGTGAAGGATCAAAGGCAACCATGGTGTGAATAAAAAGGGATGGGAAGGGGGTGGAAGAATCGACCTGCCTTGTTCGGAGTTTTGGATTAGGTACCCCCCCTATATGCGCGACGCTGTCGGATGTACGGATGTAAGGCGGGTGGCGTTGAACTCGGGTCCGGCCCGTTGGCTTGTACCTTGGTAGCTCGTCAGCTTCTATCCTGGATTTAACGTCCGGGGATAAGGGGTGTTGGCCGAGACAAAGGAAGGGAAGGCATCCAACGCAGCCCTATGAGGCAATTGGCAACCCCGACTTTGGAACAGTGAAGGAGCGGGGTTAGGTTCTAAGAACGTGTGACAAACCCACCGTAATCTTCTTAAGACGATGTGACCTGAATGACCCGAAATCCGCAGAATCGAACACCACTATCTACAAGACTCTGTTATCTTATCATTACCCATCTCGTGCATCTATCTCATCATGTCGCCCCTCCCTCATACCGGTCTTGGCCTCCTAGGATACACATGGCGCCCCAACAAGCCTTCGGATGAACAAGCCTTCGAGGCCATGAAGGCCGCCATCAACGCCGGCGCCACCATCTGGTCAACTTCTTCCGTCTACGGACTGCCCCCCGACCCCCCCACAGCCGGCCTTCACCTCCTACGCCGGTACTTCACCAAGTACCCCGAGGATGCGGAAAAGGTAACCCTTTTCATCCGGGCCTGCTTCGATCCGACAACCTACTCCCCCAGCTGCTCACCCGAGGGCGTGCGCGCCAGCTGGGAGGAATGCAACGCCATCCTCGGGGGCGTCAAGTTCATTGATGTCTTCGGCCCTGCCCGGATGGATCAGAACATCCCTGTCGAGGTGACGGTCGGTGCTCTCAAGCAGCTCAAGGACGAGGGCAAGATCGGCTCTGTGGGTTTGTCCGAGGTTCGGGCCGAGACGATCCGCAAGGCTGCCGCTGTGGTGCCCATCACCCATGCCGAGGTTGAGTTCTCGCTCTGGAGCAGTGAGATCCTTACCAATGGCGTGGCCAAGGCGGCTAAGGAGTGTGGTGTTGTACTGCTGAGCTATGCTCCTCTTGGATACGGCTTCTTGACGGGTCAGATCAAGAAGGTTGAGGATATTCCTCAGGGAGATAACAGACATATGTTTGGAAGGTTCCAGCCCGAGGTAAGGGACCATGAGTTCTTCCCACGGTGTTATTATTACTGATACCCCTTTTTTTTTTAGAACTTTGCCAAGAACCTCGAGCTTGTTGACAAGGTGAAGGCGTTTGCCGAGAAGAAGGGGGTGACGCCGGCGCAGCTCGCACTTGCTTGGATCAGGTCCTATTCTAACACTGGTGACGTCGGTGAAATCATTCCTATTCCGGGAGCTACCCGCGCGGACCGTGTCATTGAGAACTCGACGGTTGTGGAGATCACCACGGAGGAGAAGGAGGAGCTGGACAAGATTGTCAAGTCTTTCCCTATCGCTGGACATCGCCAGATTCCCGGCGCTGACCACTTCCTCTGGACTTAGCTTTAGATTTATGAAGGCTCGTATTGAGATGATTGAAAAATAGGTACACACTATCCGGTCCATTCCGCCTCAATAAACCACATGTGGCTGTTTTCTGGCTTCCACGCCCCCGTGAACTTGTACCGCTCATCAGCCAGTCTGAACAGCTCGCTCCAGTCATCAACTTCCCTCTCCCTTGCGTTCACTGTTACCTGGTTGAAGGCGTCCATGGTGCGGATGTTGCGTTCCTGCAGGTAGCTTGCCGTCAGTGGCTCTGGCAGTGTGCCGTCGTTGATGACCACCTTTGCTCCTTTGCGCAGCGCCGGTCGCAGCGCCCGAAGTATCATGATGTTGTACTTGGCCGAGAAACCGTGGAATATCCATCGGAAGAAGTAGACATCAGCAACAACCGTCTGCGGCTCGAAAAAGTCATGTACAGTCCGTGTGACCTTTTCTTCAAGGTGAGCTGGCATCGGTCCCATAGCCTCTGGTTTTCTCATGCCCTCCGTGTCTTGCACCACAAATTTCAGCTTGGGAAAGGCCTCCGCTATGGCGAAAGAGACGAACCCTTGGTTCCCGCCCATCTGCTCTCGCTATCAGTACTCCATCCCTCAGCACCGCAGCGTGGAGAAAGACTTACATCCACAACCGTAGCCTCCCCCAACTCCCCCCAAGCATACCCCCTCACCGTATGCCCCACCGAAAACCCCTCATTCCCACTATGCAGCTTCATCGCAAGGTTATACCTCCTCGCTTTCTCCGGCACCGACTGCAAGTAATCGTACCACGGCAAACTCTGCTCAAACGCGTGATTCACCGCCGTCTCCGTCGGCTCCTCGCTCCCAGGCCACTTCTTCATCGCGTCAACAACGTGAGCAGCTGGCTTCCACAGATCACGACACATGTACCCAACCCAGTTAGCCATCGGTTCATCCTCCAGCAACATCCTCGACACGCTCGTGTGAGCGACGAAACCTTTTCTCGGCTCGATAAAGATGTGGTTCAGCATCGCATGGCGGATCAAGCGCCGGAGGTTCATGACGCCGATTTTGAAGCCGTTGGCGGCGACGACTTTGGCGGTTAGGTCTTCGAAGGAGATGGAGCCGGTGAGGGGGACAAATTCGGGGACGCGGAATTCCCAGATTGCTTGCAGGGAGAGGTTGTTTATGAACTGGTGGTTTTTGTCAGTTTTGGAGGCAGGGTGGAGAGGAAGGGTAGGGGGCACGGCTTACATCCCATGACAGCCATGAAAGGCCCTGCTTGGGACCGAGGGTGAGGTCGTGGAGCTCTTTTGTGGCTGCGATTAGGTCTACCCTTGCCGTGTATGCCTCGCCTGCGGACTCTGGGATGGGAAAGTCGACTGCGCCGTCAACGTCCCAAGATGGTGCTGTGAGATTGTGGGAGGCTAAATGGTCCGTTACGATCTTGGTCTTTTCCAGGATGGTGTGTGAAAGCTGGGCAAGTCGAGCGTTGGATGTCATGGTGGGCGCTGATGATGAGGAGGTCGGTATGGTGTAGTCATCTCATTTATTCTAGCGAGGCTCTGTGAGAGTGATGTTTATCACTTACAGTGGTGATGGACCCGAGTTGTGGATTTGTAGACCCCGAGTGAGACGTTGAAAACACCACTGCGGGGTTGAAACACAGCGTGCGGAGACGGTGATGAAATGCGTCTGAAATAGTTGGTGAGATCATTTGCAAGTAATCGCGTTTGGTAACAACAGGGTGCTTCATCATCCATTCCAGAGGGTACCAGGGGTAGACGACCTAGGCGTCGACCATCATGGTGCAGATTGAAACCGATGTTCTCATTGTGGGCGCCGGCCCAGCAGGAGCAAGCCTTGCATGCTTCTTGACCCACTACGGTGAGCATAACGCGTGAAAGCATTACACCACACAGCGAAAGCTAACAGTGCGCAAACTTAGGGGTGACGGGATTGATCATAAGCAAGGCGTCGTCGACTGTGAGGACGCCCCGGTCACACTACACAAACAATGCAACCTTTGGCATGTACATGAAGCTTCACATCTATACACGAACTTGAGCTAACAGAGTCCAGAATGTCTTCGCGATGTTGGACTCGAGGAGGAATGTCGTCAACTTGCAACTCCCAAGGAACTGTTGATGTACTCGAGAATTTGCACCACCATGGGGGGAGAGGAACTCTCCCGGACGTACAACTGCGGGACAGATCCGAACAGATATGTGCGTCTCCCAACTGACCGTCTGTAGAACAGGTACTAATTGCCATAGGGAGAGTTCAAAAAGGCGAGTCCATGCGAACAGGCTGATCTCCCTCAGTCAGTGCTAGAGCCCATCCTTCTCCGCGTAGCAACACAAAACGGCTTCCACCTCCGCTGGGACTGCCAATTTGTCTCATTCCATCAAGACGAAACAACCTCCAAAGTCCACTCCGTAATCCAAGACGTCCTAACCAACCAGAAAATCACCGTCATCTCCAAGTTTCTCTGTGGTGCCGACGGGGCACGTAGCGTGGTAGCCCGCGAGCTCCAACTCCCCTTCAACGACACCCCCGGCGGTGGCCTCGCCCTCAACGTCTTTGTCGACGCAGACCTCAACCACCTCCTCACCCCCCACTCCCCAGGCCTCATCCACATTCTCCTCCACCCCACCAAACCCCAACCAGACTTCTGCTCCCTCGCCATCGCCCGCTTCGTCAAACCCTTCACCCAATGGGTCTTCGTCATGCTCGCCAAACCAAACATCACCGCCATCACCGCCACCCCATCCGAAATCCTCTCCCACGTCCACGACCTCATCGGCGACCCCTCCGTCAAAGTCACCCTCAAACGCCTCTCCACCTGGAAAATCAACGAGACCTACGCCGAAAGATACACCACCCCCGGCAAAAAAAACATCTTCTGCCTAGGCGACGCCGTCCACCGCCACCCCCCCTTCAACGGCCTAGGCTCCAACACGAGCATCCAAGACGCGTACAACCTCGCGTGGAAAATCGGTTTCGTATACCAATCCCTTGCTTCCCTTTCCCTTTTGGATTCCTACACCGCGGAGCGACAGCCTATCGGTAAAGCAATCGTCAAACGCGCCAACGACACAGGTCGTATGCACGCCAAACTGTTTTCTCTTCTCGGTGTCCCTAACCCGGACACAGCCGACAAATTGCAGATCCTATCCCGTCTGGGTGATGACACAGCCCAAGGCGAGGAACTACGTCTCGCATTCCAGAATTTGGTCGAGGGGTTGGACGTGGAAAGACACGGTTTCGGGATAGAGATGAACCAGCTCTACCAGTCTGATGCTTTGTACCCCGATGATGAGACTGGCCCCCCTCCGACCAACACAGGACCTCCCGAACACGCCGATCTTTACTATCGCGAGAGTACCTACCCCGGCTCGAGGCTTCCACACGCCTGGCTGAGAGCTCCAGCAGCGGGGTCGAATGAACCGATGATTTCGACGCATGATTTGGCTGGGAAGGGGAAGTTTACCCTCTTTACTGGGATTGGTGGCAAGAAGGGATGGGTAGAGGTGGCGGGGATGGTGAAGGGGTTGTTGGGGGTTGAGGTGGTGGTTCACAGTATTGGGTGGAGGGAGGACTACCGAGATGTGTTTTTTGACTGGGGTAGGAAGAGGGGCGTCGGGGAAAGGGGTGCTGTTTTGGTGAGGCCTGATCGGGTGGTTGCTTGGAGATGTGATAATGTTGGGGGTGGTGATGGCTGGGGTGAGAAGCTGACGCGGGTTATGGCGCGGATTTTGGGGCGCTGATGAACTGCGCCGGGACTGCTGATGGGGACAATCTTGGTGAGATGGGGATTAGTGTTGCTTTGGATATATTTTGGCTTATTTGTTGTTCAACGAATGGGGACCTCCAATAAGCTTGTGAACTGAATGGCCTGGGGACCGAAATTCTGAGCGATTGCGCTGGGAGTCAAGCCTCCAACTCGGTGATAATCCCCAGTGCTGCAAGTCCATATCCCAAATTCCGAACAGAAAACCCGTATAGCCCTGTAACTACACTCCCTGGAGGCACTTCAAGTCGCTTCGTCTCAACTCTCCAGTCCTCCGGATAGCCGTCTACAACCCCCCGGAACAGGTGGGATCGTCCATGGTTGGTGAAAACCTAGGGATTGAAGTGATGTTAGCCCCTTATGCTTCACACACAGGACGATGTGTGGTGTTTGCAGACATGCTAACTCACCTTGAATCCAGTTAGGACTCCTTCTGTACACTCCCATGTTCTGCCAGTCTTCCGGTACTTCTGGCAAGTCTCGACAGCGGTAATTCTTTCTCCCCCAGGTCCATTGATTACAAACGTGCTCGACCTAGTGTAAGGCTGAAAAGACGATGAGTCGTCGTCCGATTCAGGTTCTGGTGCCTGACCGAAGCTCTGAGAGCTTAATGGAACCCCCTTGTTTTCATAAGCAAAAGTGATGGTTTCGGCCGGCTGATTCCAATATATTCTCAGTAGGCTTTTCAGATGCACACCACCTGGGCCGCCGAAATGGGTCCAGAACAGTGGTCTGAATCCCTCCGCAAATGCTTTCGCAGAGAAGAAGCACTCTTCATTCAGGTTGAGTTGAGAAGGGGGAATATCGGGATACCATATGCCGAAAATCCTCAAGTCTGAGATATTTTCTGTGTCGCTGAGCTCGGAACTTTGCTTCTTCACGATACCAATCTCGACGATTCTGAATGCCTACAACGCCTTGTTAGCTTCACGCGTCTTTTATCAGAACCTTTCACGTACATCGGACCAGACTTCCAGTGATGAAATATTTGATACACTCCCAAGCCTCGTCGTTTTTGCAGCATCACGAGGATCGCCCAGCCAAGGGGTCAGTCCTGCCGAATCCGCAAACTGCAAAGCGTGGATACCTCTCAAACCAACCGCAACGTTGAGGCCCCGTAGATCAGCAGCGTTTAGGGTGACGGATCGCTCCCTTTCCTTGGGACCCAGGTGGCCAGCGCTTTCTGTCTGCGAATTCGACACAATGGTCAAGCCGGAGATGTACGTAAAGGATCCCACATCTATGGTTGACGCAGATATTCGGACTGTCTCGTTGGGGATAGCAAGAGATTGTACGGATTTTCGGAAACATCCCACTTGCAGCGGACCCACCGTGCCGACTAGGGACTCTGCGGCACTCCCCCCGACTCGTAGAGTACAGTCTGGCCGGGGCTTCAAGTGTGCCAAATGACCCCTCTTCGTAAACGCGGCGTTTGGACTTGGACAAAGTCCCAGGATGTCAACAATAGTCAATATCTTCTGCCAGGCTTGCCCTCTGTTGCGAAGGCCGCTCCAGACATCCTCATCCGAGTCATTGCTGGTGTCGGTAATCCGATGGTAGAGTAATCGCCAATCACGGGCCCCTTGATATGGATCTCGATGAAGTTCAAACAGGCATGAAAGGTCAGAATTTAAACCCATAAATTGAGAACGCCAAAACTGTTGACGATCAAAAAGATGCCAAAAGGATCGCGATGCCAAACGGGCATGGAGGGCGTCACGGAGTGGTAAATAGCAGGCAATAATAGAGCAAAGCTCCTCCGGGAGGGAGAGGAAGGGATCGTTTCCTGACACTAGGCCGGATAACAAGTTATCGGGGGCAAGAGGAACATCGTAGACTCCGTACCGCTCACTCAGAATCTCGTGGAGGTCGACGAAATACGGATCCGATGTGAATGGCGGCACATTAGCGGTGCTCGCGTTGGCGGTGATATCCCAAGGGAATGAGTCTTTCGATGAACACTCTGCTGACTGCGAGATTTCCCTCCAGCGCCAATCAAGCCGCCCATCGACGCACAACGACGGCCATACGAAAGACTTCAAGACATCGAACAACCTTTCAATTGGCACCGGGTTGGGGTAGATGGCCTCCTCGAGTAGCTTCCAACAGATATTGTGAACAGGGAATCCGGATTTGTTGTTGATTTCACAAAAATGGGTTCCAACCGCGTCTTGCTCTGAAATCCTGTAGCCAGGGTCGTCGTATCGCCCAGCTGGGTTTAGTGGGGCGACGAAGGAACGAGAGGCAGCACGGTTCTGTTTTCCCACACCTGTGAGGTTAGTTCGGTTGCTGACTGAACAGCGGCAGACTTTGGAACGAGTTTGTTAGGGAGGGGGCCCTCATGAGGTACGCGCAGTTGGGTGACTTACGGCCGCGAAATTCTTGATTCCATGATGAGGATATTGGCCTTGACTCATATATTTGCCATCCGCAGAGCGGACAATGGTATCGACCCATGGTTGTATATGCTATGCGAGGTGTGGTGGACAAGAATAAGAACAAGATTTCTGCTTGGTGTTGTTTGTGGGAAGACCTGCAAATGTAGGCTGCAGTGCGGGGTTGGGAGTGGCTGCCTAAAGGTTGACCACAAGCACAAAATGATTGGTTGAACTTAAAACAGACCAGGAGACGCACCCCACGACTGTTATGTCATGTTGGTTCTTTTCATCTCATGGATATATCACTTGTCATGTCTCTAGACAGCCATGCTAAAAACTGTTCAGTTTACAAACCTTTCTTAGAACGACCCCATCCAGTTCATGCCAGGGTTACCTGAATTTCTTATATCAACTCTACACCTTAAGAAAACGAATATACGCTCAAAAAACAATCCTAAGGCTTAATTAACTAGGTAGCACAAGAGTACTTGGAACGAATGGGATGATGGCTGAGTATATGCTGAGTGGCCTCTTGACACCCCTCAACACGCCTGAAACCCCGGTAGCAATACATTACTATCATGAGGCCATGGTCCTATTCTTCAGCATTACAGTGGGCAATATGGTGCCAGAACACAGCTTCCAGGCCTGGATCCTATGGTCATCTTACTCAAAATTCTATATTGAAGATTATTTACGTCAAGTATGATCTCCCAACCCTAGGGGCCTGCAAGATCGATGGATTCCTGGGCTGTGTTTGATGCCCGTCCTGAATGCAGGGCTTCCTGTTGTCTGCCCGGGCTCAATTACAGTGTAATAACCGTTAAGATGATGAATCCAGGTTTAAGACGAGTTCGCAACTACAATAACCGACATGCCCAGGATTTGAACGGTGGCCCAACGTACCCAAGAATGATCCGCCATCCAATACTTAGTAGGGCGGCCACTTGACCACCTGTCCACTTGGTCAAGCACATATTCGTTGGTGCGACCCTACCTGTCGTGTCCCTTATACACCAGGGAGTGAGGCTCAGAAAAACGGTCCCCGGTGGGAGGAAATAGGGCTCGGCCGACTGCCGGGCGGATCGTATGACGGCGTATTAAGTCTGGACACCGTGTATGATTGGGTACCTGTAAAGGAAGTTCTACTGTGACCACGGTGACCTCAAGTCTTACTTTCCCACAACGGTAGATACGTCGATGCAGGCCAACACTCACACCAGCACCGCTCGTCCATAGTTTACGGTGGCAGCAGGCGATTCAATCAACACGAACCTTTAAGACATTAATGCATAGAAACAAGCTTTAAGGAGGCATAAATACAGTCTAAACTTACATACAGTGATAATTTGACCTTGATGTGACCTGTCTCAATCGCGAAATTACCTCCAGCTTCACGCGCTCATGGGAGACGTCATTCACACTGCCCGCTCAGGGTGGTTGATGAGATGAGACAACTCAAGACGGCCCTCGGCTCGGCTCCAGTCATCTCACGGCCCCAGGTTTCGTCTTGGCTTGGAACTATCACGGCTTGTCTCACTTTACGGGCTTCCGGCAGTTTTCCGGGCCGACGTTTTGGTGTGAATGCCTACCTACCTACTTAGGTATCTACCTAGTACCCACCAGCGCCGGGCTATGACCCTCACCCAGGTGCGCCGGGTGACTGGTGACCCCGAAGTTGAATTTAGCACCCTCACGACGACATTAACCACCAACCGCCCAGGCACGGTCGGTATCACCACTTTTTCTTTAGAAGCCTCAAAAGACTGTCCCAGAACCTGGCAAGGCGGCAAGTTAAGCCGGCCCTGGGCTTGGCTTCCATTGCCAGCTCATCTCATAAGACGAGCCGAGACCGTCTCATCCCTTGGATCAACGGAGCAGCCCGCTTGAAGGAGGGCACATCAACCATATCAACTGACCTTCGTAATTATGCCCCCGGACTGCGACTCTGGAATGGGTATATATTCCGGCCTCAGTGTTTTCTGTATGTGGTATATTCTACCTAATTAAACGTAGTAATGGACTAGGGAGTCGCTGCTCGGATGGATTTGAGACACCTAAGTAGACACGAGCAAAGTCGACATCCCTGTATAGGTAAGCAGGTGTGGCATAAACATACTCTTTTCTTTATTTACCGTCCTTGCTTTCCCTCTCCTATGGTACACTACCCCTTCACTAATCCCCTTCACTAATTTACATTCTACACAGGAAGATGCTCTGCCCTTTCTCCTTTCACTTGTCTATGATCTTTGCTTGCCCTTAGTCACGCGGCTGTGGCTTCAGTGGAGAAGGGCTCTCTTTCTTGATCTCGGGAGAATTCTCTGGCTTTATCAAGGGAGAATCTGCCGGAAGAGCGCCGCAGTCGATGAGGAATTGTGTGAGGGGACTCACTCGGCGGCGTTCTCCCTGTTCAGGCTGTGGTTGTTGGGGGGGTGGCTGCTGGGGGTGTGCCTGGCGCTGCAAGGCCATCAGTGGTGCAGGGCGAACCGGGGCAGCGGGCTGCTGTTGACGGTGCTGTTGTTGCCGGACTTGTTGATGCCCGTGAGGCAGTTGTGGCTGGACTTGTTGATGTCCCTGTGGCGGTTGTGGCTGGACCACAGGCTTGGGAGCCAAGCGGGGGAGACGCTGGCGTGGCTGAGGCTGGGGTTGAGCCGCGGGCCGAGCAGGCTTGGGTTGAACCGCGCGACGAGCTGGCTGGGGTTGAGCCACCGGACGAGCAGGCTGTGGGTTATCCGGCATCAGCCGGTGGTGCTGTGGTTCTCTTTGGACCTGTCGCGGGGCCGGAGGGCCGAGCTGAAAAGGACCGATATGGTCCATTTGCCGCCGCTTCTGCCCCTCCAGCGACTCCTGTCGTGTGACCCAAGCCTCGATTTGTCGCTTCTGCGACTCCAAATGGTTGGCCTCCTGAGCCAATGTCTCTCTGGTTCTAATCTGCAGGAGCTCGTGGGTTCTTGGCCACGGCCATCGCGGCTGGTATTCTGGGCTTTGCTCCCAAGCTGCCTCCTCCTGGAGGATGTTTTGCAGGCCGAGGTAGAGGAGATCAAGCTGGGTCATCTCCTTCAACAACGCCAGCACTTGTTGTCGGTCCGCAGGCCAATTAATGGATCCTGTTGGGATTTGGGTGATGAGGGCCTCAGCAGCTTGGGAGAGCTTGTCGATCTTGAACTTGAGGTACTGGGTCGTTGTGTACCAGCTGGGTGGTTGGTGTATATTCTCCATCCTGTCTGAGTCGCAATGAGTCGATTCTGGGGAATGTTTGACAAGGTTCTGGGGAGTATATAGCTGTTTGCTTGATGCACCTGGGTTGCAGGAGAGGCGGCTTGGGATGTTTTGATTTGACGGTGAGGACGACTCGAGCACAATATAAGCAGCTGGACTTGTTGATTGTTGTTATGGGAGAAAAGGTACGTGGGGAAAGTCGCGTGCACAAACAGTGACCGTGAAGAGTGACTGAAGTTAAGTGAATGGATTGTGCACAATGACCACCCACAGCGCTGCTTAGCGACCCCTATGGGTACACACCTGTTTTGACAGGGCGGTGTAGTCAAAACAGTTTTTATTCAGCTGTGTCACCCCATCCCGTCCGGCAAAGAATAGGTCATTTTTCCCGACACGAGTTCCAGGACTAGATAACAACACTCCTTTATGACCACAAGCCCAATTGCTCATGCACTCTGTTTCGTTGACGCCCAAGATTTCCGTTTGCTTATGTCTACCTTCAAAAAGCATATGACGCGCCTCCATCTTCTGACCCAATACTGTTATTCAAGAGGAGGCAGCAAGACGCTGTTGTACCAACGATACTCAGTCATGGGACTGGTAGTCGCTTGTTGTGCCTGTGCCCAGACTACTATACAGGTCCTCAATGTTATGAGAGAAGTAATCTGTTGGCCCAGCCATTCTCGGGAAATAGCTTGCTCTGGGTCGTCTACCTTTGGCCAGCCTTGCAATGGCACTTTTTAGATAATGAAGTGTTGTGATGGCACCAAATCAAAAATGGAGTGACCACTTGTTGACTTGACACAGCTGGCACGGTATAACGTGCATGATAAGCGAGCGACGCAGACAAGCGAGCGACGCACTCTCCACCACCTTACTATAACTATCCTCAATTGCTAGACCACAACATTAAGAACCAACTACAATTACGTCAGAAACAGCTGAATCAGACCCTTCTGCAGCCTCCTGGCAAGTGCGGGAATTATGGCCAGGCTTGCCGCACACACTACAGCACTAAACCTTCGTACGAGCCCCCCTAGTACTACCGCCATCCGGCTATATTTCTTCCACTACCTCCTCACCTACGGCCTTCTGGTCTAGTAGATCCTGTGTATCTTGCACAGTAAGTGATCCTCCGAGCCGTACACGTGTTTTTTTAGCTCTCCGGCGCTTACTTAATACTTTATTAGCTTTACGGAATAAAGCGTTTTTTGATTGAAGGAGGGCCACCTAATGTATTATAGTTATTATACCTTTAATAAGCTAGTCTATAGTAACTAATATTGAAGTTAAGGAACTATTTTAATAGTTAATAATATAAATTTTAATAAATATTAATTATAAATTAGTTTTTTAAGGATTTTATAATATTTAAAATACTTAAAGTAATATTATATCCGGCTTTAAGGATAAAGGTATTAACGTACGAAGCTTTATATTTAATTTAAAAAATATTTTTTTTAAATTATATAATATAAAGCTAAATACCCGTAAAACTATTTTATATATTTTTCTCCGTTATAAAAATAAAAAAAGTTTCGCGGAAAATATAAAGGAATTTAAATTTATTTATATAATTAATATATATATATATTAAATCCTTAATTTAACGGTTATATATTTATTTTAATAATTTAAAGTAATTAATATTAAGTAATTAAAAGAAATAAAAAAAATATAAAGGTATATAAAGTATAATAATATTACTTTATTAATAATAATATTTAAATTTAATTAAATAATAATTTTTATAATTATCGAGGATTAATAATTAATATTTACTTTTCGTACGGAACGTTATATAATAATTAAAATATTTAATTTAATTTAAATTTATTAAATTAATAATTTAATTATTATTAATAATTATAATATATTAAGTAAATAATAAATTATATTTAATATATTAATTAATAAAATAATATTATATAATTAAAATAATAAAAGATAGAATAATTTAATTAAAAATATTAATTTCCTAAATTATTATTATTTATTTACGGTTATTAAATTAAATTAATTTTATTTTATTAAAGCTATCCGAAATTATAATTATTATATTTATAAAAATAATATTTATTATAAACCTAATTTCGTCGAAAATATAAATATTATTATTTATAATACTATATTTAACTTTAATATTCCGTATAACTATAAATTACTTAATAATAACCTTTAAATCCTCGTATTTAGCTCTTTAATAATCATATTTATATATAAAATACGTATAGAACTATAATTAACGTTTAACGAAGTTATAAGTTTAACGTTTATTAATAAGAGGCGCGTCGCGTACGTATAATAATTAGTTAACTATATCTTCTATACTACTTAATTTAGGTAAGAATATGCGTGTAAATAACTTAAGGACGTACTAAACTATTATCTTCTCCTCTAGATCCGTTAAATTACGTAAGTTGGCCGGAATATCGCGTCGCATTAGTCGGCCATTACGCCTATAGCGGAGGGTTACTTCTGGGACGTTATATAACTTAGCTATAGTGCGGATACTAAGATCCTCTTTATTTTGAATAGCTTCGAGGGCAAGAAGAAGTCTCGCTTCTTTTGAAGGGCCGTCCATGGTTATTGGTGGTGAATTGTAGTAGAAGATATTGAAGAGACGCGTTGTGGTGGAGAGTGCGTCGCTCGCTTATCTGCGTCGCTCGCTTATCATGCACGTTATCTCAAGTGATTGTTTCACTCCCCAAATAACAGTAGGAAGGTTATCGATCTACCTTGTACATTTTAGGCTGTAAATGTAAACGAAATCTAGACTGCAGAAAGCGACATCTTAAATGTACACACCTTTCTAGCGCGCCCCAGTTGGGTTGTGCTGGCTTCTGCTGTTCGTGCATCGCGATGTTCCGTTCCAGCAACAGTGTCAAATGCGAACGGCCACAAACAGAGCAGAACCAAGCCGCCGAGTTTGTGCAACATGTCTGCCAGAAAGACCACACACTAATAAGTTAATTTGAAACGACAGAGAATTTTAAGGAAGTTTGTATTGTAGGTTATGACATTGACTTTGTAAAAGCACCTGAAGATCTACAGGGTTGGGCCCAGTTTCAATGCCAAGACCAGAAATAGTGCCCTTCTGTACGCACATCAATCACAAGGTCATTCCTGCTTCCACCTTCTCATCGACTTCACAACACTTCACAAAAGACCAAGCCAGTCATTAAAATCATTGCTTTTGTCCATCTGATATCACTTCCTCCTTTACTATCCAGTGTCCACCCCTCTACACAACCATTTGTCTGCCCACCACATCAGCCAACACTCCCCTCCTCCAGACCATTATCGGCATTGTTCCCTCCTCCCATCAAGTCCACTAATCAACGATTAAAGAAGTACCCGCAGGTGCTCCCGTTCATGGGCGGCGTTTCTGACCTGTTCCTCCACGTTGTCAGGCAATGCCTGTCAAGCGTCCACAATTGTCTCCCAGGTTCAATACGAAGGAAGGCGGTAGAAGTCCATCGGAGGCAGTTGGGACTCTTCTACGTCGGGGGCGGGGTAGAGTTGTTCTCCGGGGATGTATCTCGGTCCAGGCAAACAAGCCAACTCTTCAAGGGACATCAGGCTTCGATTGCGGCGTGGTTCTAATTGCGGCTCGGGGTCGGCTGTCGGTGGGTTTGGTATAGTTGGGGATGTTGTCTGGTTTTGAGAGGGAGATATCGTTGCCGGTGATTGGGTACTGGGCTGCTGACCCTGAGGGGGCACAAGACTTCGAGCATCAGGGACATCATTGGATATGCGGGTTTGAGTCGCGATGATATTGACCTCATCGTTCAATTGGTTGTCCCTTGCGGCTTCTCCGACTCTCACAGCCTCTCTGCGAGCTGCCAATCCTGACCTCTTTGCAGGAACTGTGTCCTCTCGTGACTGGAAGTCGCGTCTTGCGGCTCTCACACGGGCACAATGCAACTCAAAGCTAGAGAGCACGGAATCATCTCTCAAGCTCTCACTAAGCCTGAAGGTCCTTGTTGATTTTGTGCAGCGCTTGCCTGAAGTATCTGGCAAAGTTCGTCCTGGCCTCGTTGGGCAATGTGTTGATGATGGTTGAAATCTGCGGTCACTTGTCCTCGACTCTGCTGCTGTTGGGCTTCGACGTCTTGGTGCCGTGGCGGGAGCCTCCGGATGGTAGGAGCCGGCTGGGCTTCTTGTTCTCCTTCTTGCTCTCGCAGCTGCCTGGCGGCGCGACGTTGTTCCCGGCGGGCTTGCTGGGCGGCGTGACGTTGTTCCTGGCGAGCCTGGTGGGCGCGGCGGTGTTCTTCACGTTCTTCGCGCCGGCGTTGTTCTTGTCTCTCGGTCTCGAGGTGGTCTCGTTGGCTTTCGCTTCGACGCTGGAATCGCTCGATTTCTTCGTAGTAAGTGAGGTCGCCGATTTGCTCGCAGGAGATTGGGCGCGGGTGGCCCATGATGGTTGTGACTCGTCAGTGGTGGTTGGAGGAATGTTTGTGTGGGAGGCAGAGCTTTGTGGGTGAAAGGCGGAGAGGGTAGAAGCTGGGTGCGATGGAGTGGCCCGAAAGTAGTAGAAGGGTGAAATGATTGGGGCTGGAGTGAGAGTGGGGGTTGGCAGAGAATGGCGAGCAATCTGAAGCTGCCGAAACACCGCCTGAGTAGGCGTCGGAGCTGTGACTGGCTGCAGTATTTCAGGTTGCAATGGGGGGTAGCTCTGGCGCAATTCGGAAGCCTCAGCTGTCACCTCTTCTCGAGGCTGACTCTGAGCCTGTTGACTGGGAGACTGCGCCTTTGTGCTCACTGGCGGAGCAATCTGCTGACACAGGTTTGATCAGTCACAAATATGTCCACTCCCAATCCCTCCCTTCTGATCGCAAGGACTTCATCTTACCTTGTCTTTGGTCGAAGCATGTCTAATCTCCTTCTTCCGCTGATCAAACAAGCCTCTCACCGGGATCCGGTTGAATTCCGTGTGTTTTTCTTTCCTTTTGTCCTTCTCCTTGTCACTTTCCTTGTTGTCTTTAGTCCCAGTCCGCGGTTTGAGAACCCTTCCAAGCATTTCTTTGCCGCTGTCTGGCCTTGTCGTTGAGCCAGCCTTTTTTAGTTGTCCTTCTTTTTGGGAGCCTTCTGACTGAGGTTTAGTTTCATCAACAATTGTCGCTTCTGCTTTGAGGGACTGGTTGGCCATCTTGACTTGGCGTAGCTTCAGCATCACTTCCCAACCTGGTAAAACGAAGCTTTCCCAAAATGCTGGCAGGATTATCTCTCCACTAGGACCGAAGACTTCGTAATTTCCAGCCCGGACCTGGTCATTCTGAGGAAGATGGCCATACAATTGTTCTATTGCCTTCGACATTTCCTAAAGGTCATCAGCATTGCTGAAGCTGTTAACATCACTCACTCAGCGTTGGGTCACTTACCAGCCAGGTTCTGCAAGCACGAAATGGGACCAAACAACGTCTCCCTTCTGTGTCTCTCAAGGTGATGGGGGCAGGTGTTGGCTCTGGGGGTGATCTGAAGTCATATCCTTCCTGGCTGTGCAGATACCCATGATACTGTTCTGTCCTGTCATCAAGATACTCTGCATCTCCAAGGATGGTCTCCGCGTCGGTCCTCAGGTCGGCGAGAAACCGGCCGAGAACATAATTTGATGGTCTTGGCCCTGTCTCCGGCGCATTCAACTGGAGTTGAATCTGAGAAATTCCCTGCAGAACACGGTCGATGTCTGTGTGTATCTGTGCTGTGTTTCCTTTGATGGCCGAGGTGTCTTGGAGAATGTGCTCTGTGTCGTCTTTGATGTCTTTGATGATGATGCTGTCTACGATCAGCTACTCACTTTCCCAAGGGCCACAGACACACAACTTACACAGATACCAAATCCAGTGTTACACTGAGGGTGGCTTTGTGTCTTTCCAGATCTTCTCGCAAGCTTTCCATCTCCTCTTTTCCCGACAGAGCCCAACTGACACGCGAACCTTCCTTCAACAACCCGCCAATCTGATTCACGACATTCTGGCAGTCTGCGGCCACATCGACAATTCGCTCAAGCACGCTGTGTGGGAGCTTGATCTTATCGGCATCGTGAAAGTCATCCGCGAGTATCTCAAGCACACCTTTGAGTGATGTTAGTTCCTTTTTGACAGCGATGATTTCTTGTCGAGCCCCTCGAATATCTCGCATGAATGCCGTGGCAGCGCTTATCACGGATGTAATTGCGCCAGCAACCTCCAGTACTGTTACCGCCGCTGACAGAGGCTCCATTTTGAACTTGAAATGTCGTCTGTGTCAAAGGCTGATAGCTTTCACACAGCACTCAATGGTGGGGATCAAAAATTTGGGAATGAGCCCGATGAGGGGTAGCAGGGCTCAGCCTCATTCTCTAGCTTATGTATGCACTGTCGTATCCGCACTGAATGCAAGCTTCGCCAACAGCATGCTGACGTGCATGAAGATGGCTCTCACGATTGGTTACCCGACTTCTCCTAGCCAAATCTCACATGCAGGTCCACAACTCCAGTATGCTGCCACAATGTGGACAAAATAACTGGCACTGCAAAACGCTAAACCAAGCCTTAAAAGAGAGAAAGGCCTTCAAGATAGTTAAGGGGCTTACAAAGATAGTTAATGGGCCTCTGAACTATCTTTTGAGGTGTAATAAGTATCCATCAAGGCCTCCTCTTCTTCTAAAAAGGGGTAGGTTAACAAAAGATTCTACGTTTGACCGACTTGCAGTACCAGTTATCTTGCCCACGACGTGGCTGCCAATTGCATGGTCTCTGCTGACCGATGATGTATTCACAGTGATCTTGTTCATCTTCATCACAGTTTTGCTACTATACCTTGAACTTGTAAACAAATTGACCTGTTGCCGAGCAACGGCTCAGGGGTATTTCAGGGGACGTGCGCCCAGCCACAACACTCGTGTTCCCCATGGCCTGAAATACATTAGCTCATGGGGATGCAATTCAAGCTCGGATAACAGCAGGTGGTGGAACAATGGCCCTTTTTTAGGGATGAGTGCCATGGATGATCACTTCACTGCTTGTTTGGTGTGTTGCAACATGTTTCACTCAACTATCCGCCAGACAACAGTCACAGGCAGCCCGATCGAGCGCTCATTCTTACTGTTCGATTGGAGTGGCGGATGTTCTGCCGAGTTGTCCGCATTTGGCAATGGCACTCATGTCATCATCCAACACACTTCGATGCGTGACGCTGACAGCCCGCTCTATCGTAGCAAGACGAAACTTCTATGAGCCACAAGTTGATGCAGCAGATTTCCACGTGTGGTACTCTCTAACACGTACATTCACGCTGGTGCGGCTGAAGATACACCTGAGCACTTTTTACAAAGAGACGAATCGTTGACGCTAGAAGGGATAGAAGAAAACTGTCAAAGTGGCATGGTTTTGGGCGTCAAGGGGTGATTGATGATGCATGCCACGACTGGCCAACTCTGATATCACCTGGATCTCATGATCGAGTTCTATGATGCAGTGGCCTTCAACACACAGGATACGTCGCCTTTAAAACTACCACACCCATTCGTTTCTGATCTTGGGGTACACCTACAATACTCTGGCCTTCTACGACAGTAATATCCGTCAAGTAAAGCCAAGTCCAGTGTCCTCCACATTTTGTCTTCTATCCACGACCATTGACAACTACACCACCATGATTGACAAGTACACAACAAGCAACATGAAGATGGCTAGTTGCAACTGCAGCACCTCTTCCAGGAGTAGCACCACCTGCAAGAATCGCACGTGCTCCGGAAGCAGTCCCAAACGATTGAGCTCTTCCACATCTGTTTACGAAACAACAGAAGCGGTCATTAAGGTGACACCGCATGTCAGCACAGTCATGGACACCACCAAAGTATACAAGGGAAATACTTCACCAAGCACGAGGAGCAAGGGGCTGAACGAGATGAAAGCAATAGCGCGGGCCATGTGCTGACGTGTTAACTGAGGTGTATGGGGAGCAAACTATTGGAATCGCCGGCCGAATCAGCCCAACAGCTGCAAGAAAATTGATAGACGTGACTTCGGCGTCATGTTAGAGTTGTAGATGACAAGAAAACACTACAGTCTGCATGACCATTAACAAACTTGCCCATTTTGCCCAGATGATCTAACTGACTGCTCCATCCCGTTTACAGTAGCAGAGCCCTACAAGATACATGACACCACTGCAGCCCACTTTGACGCCAGCTCTTTCCTCCGAAGACCTTGAATGGAATGATTACTCTCGCCTGATCTTCCATACAAGCACAGACCGACTCTAACAGTGGCCACACCAAGAGCAGTTGTGTGGCACGCAGAGACACGCTGACAGAATGCCCACACCAGAGGACCCAACACTACCCCTTTCTCTCCCCATCAACCCGGAAACACTCGATCAAGCCCTCAGGCTAGAGCTTGAAATACAACACCTCAAGGCGAACAATAACGCTAGAGCACAAAGTCAACTCCAGCCGGCTCAGGTCAGTCGAGCAACGGGACAACGGCCGCCAGGTACACACTCCCCAGCAGTTTCAACAGAGGCAGCCGTGCCAAAAGCAAGCACAGCGCCTGGTGGTCAAAATCACCACAAGACAACCACCCAGAGCTCAGCCGCACTACACACTCCAGCTAAAAGCAGAAAAAAACAGAAATCACGACGTTGCAATCTTCTATAGATAATCACCACTACACAACGAAGAGCAGACTTCTACAACACCACATCCACAATTACTACTTTGAAACAGCCCTCTCTTTTCATCGTTATAAACAACATAGCCACCCCTTCATTTAATCCCGGCTTTCTTTCCATCACCTAACACACGAGATCCTTCACCTACCAAAAGCCCCACCTAACCATTATCTACCCGCCAATATTCACCGACTGCCTCACCATGAGCCGCGGTGATCGCGATCCCGAATCAACACCAGTGGACTGGGCAGAGCTCTACATCGCTCTCGTCCCCCTCTACCACGATCAAATCGAACGGGAGAATACTGATAAATTGAAAGCCGCAAAAGTCGAGGAAGCAAGACACGCCCGCGAAGACGAGAAGGTGGACGGGGCAGGAAAAGAGATGCTCACCGCGGAGAATATCGAACAGCGTGAGGAGCGAGAACAAATGGAAGAGGAGTGGAAGGAGAGCAAAGACGGAGAAAGAAAGGAGCAGGAGGATGAGGAAAGACAGGAGCAAAAGTGTATAAGAGAGGAAAGGCGGAGGAGTATTGAATGCTCTCAAGAGGCAAGGGGTCTTTGCAGAATCTTGGGGAATCCGTGGCTCAACTCAAAACTAGCTAGCTAAAGTGTAGGCATCACAAGTTGTCTCAGACTACAAATCACCAAATTGAAAATCCCACAAACAAGTTATTGTGACTGCCAAGTGCAAAGGTACCTAGGGGAGGCACCTTAACTTACCTCAGACCCAAAAGACACAGTCACCTACCCTAAAACAAGCCCCCTCATGGTACAAAACCGAGACCTCTGTGCCTTGGTGAGTGAGGCATGGTTCTGCTGGAGCCTCGTTGCTTGAGCTAGGAACCCCGCATTTGCGTTTGGCGCACCCTGCGGGTTGGCATTCACGCGCAACCTGAATAGCCCCCGCGGCTGGGAGAACGGAGGTGTTTGCCCGAAGACCAAAACATCGAGCCAAGCTCGAGTTTATTCCCATGATGACACCTTCGGTCTTTTTCTCAGAAACTTGCATCCCCGACATCTGGGGTGGCGGCTCGGCGGATGACGCGAAAAGCGGAAGCATGGGCTGTCTGGGATTGCGAAGAACCTGACCAAGCTGGAGACGGAAGTCTGTTGAGGGGTAACCAGTGCTCTTGATAAGGATCCATGTTTTGATAGGCTGATCCATTGCTTAAGTGTTTTAAGGCACAAAGGTACTGTCTGAACTGCTGAGGATGGAGTTTGCTGAATTTAAATGACACAACAAGAAGCGGGAGGGATGTTTGGGTCAACTTAGAATTAGAAAGATCTATCTTTTAAGCTCAAGTTCCGGGCTCTAACCCAGGTGATAGCAGGCTGCGTCTCGCGTGGGGGTGCGTAACCGATATACCCAAACCCCATTTATGTAGGGGCGTCGACTGCGCCATTCAGCTCGGTGATGGGATGTGCCCTACATAGTTAGGAAGATCACCCCCCTTTTCTCCTCTCAAGATACTCTATCGACATTATAATTAAGCCGTCTTACACGAAGATGGGATGCGAAGCGTCGACTGCGGCAACACACGAACGGGTCTTGCTCGGTACAACAATAGCGCTGGAGACTGCAGCGAAAGTCGTGGAGGCAACAAGACACCCCTTTCGAGCCGGCCAGGCTGTGGACGCAGTCCCGCATCGCTCACTCCTCCTTCCAACTGATTTGCAAATAACATTCGGCTGGCTTGTTATGAGCTATTTACCTCTCGTCCGTATTAATTTAACCATGATGCACCAATCTGCTCAGCGAACAGCATATCTCGCATCTGATGCGTATCTTGCCGCTCGAGACAAAGCGTTGCCATTTATTGATTCCATAATGTCACGAGAGCCACTGGGTCGTATTGTCCAGGAAATTGAACCCTCAGTACATCCAGCGCCGCTCCTACAAATAGCAGAGAGAACTTGATGGCAGAAGCTGACCTTTGTCCAGGTGCCTTATCCTGAATTCGTTGATGGTTTACTTACCGACAATACCCGTCATTTGTGTGACTAGTACCGATGTCTTGAATGGGTTGAGTGTCACAGCGGAAGCTGGCAACACGCAACCGATGGAGAGATTCTGCGCTCCGACTTCAACACGAAGGACCTTGAGATTTTCAGTACCGGGCTTGAAGACCTACGTAACGAACTGTTTCGAGTGCTGTTGGGCCAGCATATGTCTGAAGATAGAGCTACTACGTGGGACCCCAGCGGATCCGAAACGACACTGGACAAGCTTAACAATTTGGAGTCTGCCCTGACATCGATATGGAGGGATTATCACTTACGACCACACAAACGCAACCGGGTGACTCTTGGAAATGCCACGTCCGTCAACCTGCGCTTGGACGGTACATGGAGTTGCGATGCAAAAGGAGCCGACTCCTTTGTTATGAGGTTTCCTGCTATCAAGTACGCCAAGGGACCCGATTACCTACAAAAAGCAATAGTCAATATTACACAGAAGAGGTGAGTGAGAGGTATTTTTGTCTAGCCGATCAACATCACCACAACCTCCATGTTTGGGATTTGTTCTAACGGTGTCTATTCAAGCCACATCCCGCGTTCAAAATGGACCAATCCCTATCAGCTAGAACCGCTACAAGGCAAACGCTATAAAATGGTCCTCCACAATGACGGACAGATCGGCATGGAACGCGGTGTTCACAGGTACGAGGACGTCAACGGCCATGCAGCAGATGCCGAGTTTCCTTTTAGCGAAGTGCTTAAACACGAACTGCACTATCGCGAAAGAATTGTTCTTTGCTTGCGGCTAGTTCGTTCGTTGCTTGATCTTCACAACACTACCTGGCTGCGGGGTGACTGGGGTGTTGAAGACATCTGGGTGTACGGCAAATCGAACTCCTCGGAACTACAGCTACGCCAGCCATATCTCAGGCTGGTTCTCCCGAGCAACCAAAGTGACTCGCCCGTGGACAGTCAGCCGTCGACTACGAGCGACTTCTTTGACGACATGCATCGCTTTCCCCACGCCCTTAGTCTGGGTGTTGTTCTTATGCAAATACTGCTTAGCGATCGCCTGCAGAACGTTGCTTCGCTCGAGGACTATCGGAACGAGAGACGGAGACATTTATCAGAGGATATCCGGAATGACGTCAACCTCAAGGTGGTTCAGGCTGGAAGGTTGTTAGAAGAGTGTCAAAAGAGGTTCTCGGCTAGATCTCCGCTGATCAAGGCTATAAGCGGCTGCACAAAACCAAACCTGTTTGGGCCTTTACGAGAACGGGAGAGGGGCAGAGAATTCTCTTCTAGGGGATTCGGTTGGGCTGTTCGAAAACGATGTAAAACGGTCCTACTCGGAATTTTTAAGGGAGCCGTCCGCTATGGGCGAGTCGTCGGCGAGCGCTACACAGGGTGTAAGTGTTTCAACTTTGACGTGGAATGAGAGCCTCGTCGAGCTAACGTATGTATGATGCTTCACGCCGTTTCTATCCCCGGCTTTTTGTGTTTTCGAGGTAACCCTGGCAGTTCGCAGTTCTAACAGTCAACACAAATAGAGAAAAACACATTGAACTATTAAGGCTTATCACCCGGAGCCTCTCTAGCATGAACGGAAGATCAAAGGAAGGGGGCTGTAGACTAGACGATATATGGAATAACCTTGTCTCCGTGGCAATTCTGGATACGGGTTGCGATTTTAGTTTAGATGAGTTCAAGGATCTCATCGTTGGGGATAATACAGGCGACATTCCCTTTCCAAAAAGAGCCCCTGGCATTGTCGGATGGGAGGATTTCGGGGACGAGTCACGCCGTCCCAGTGATTCCATGGTGGATAAATCTGAAAGCCGCCATGGGACCATCATGGCCCGACTGTTCTTGAGAGCTATGGGAATGTCCAAATTCTACATACCACGCGTTATAAAAGGCACTAGTGATGATAGGGGTGCTGCTGAGAGAGTTGCCGCTGTGAGTTCACCCAATTCATGTCCCCCATCTCGTGATCTACACCTTACCGTCAGGGCAAATTTGAGACATGGGCTCTAACATTCAAGCATTTAGGCCGTCGAATGGGCTATAAACGAATGTAATGTCGATATCATCAGTATCTCTCTCCGCCTTAACAAGCCCTCAGAGGAGGTGCGTAAGAGGTTCCATGAAACGAGCGGTAAAGCCTTGATCTTTGCCTCGGCTGGAAATATGGATCAAGGACCTACCAAGAAGCCAATCGCCTTCCCGGCAATGTTAGAGAATGTCTTCTGCATTCACGCTCACGACGGGTTTCAAAAAAACTTTCAATTTACACCAGACCCGCATCCGGAGTTGTGGAACTTCCAAGTCATCGGACAGGATTTCAACGTCCCCAACCCTGCAGACAGGACTCCCCTGATCGTCCAAGGCACGTCGTGTGCAACCCTGATCGCGGCCGGGATGGCCGCCTTTGTTATCGACTTTACTCGAGCCTATGGAATAGAGTGGGCCAAACGTCGGGAAAACGGCGAGAAAGACGAGTTTGACGACATCCGAAACACATTGGTGGATGAGAAGCAGAGACTCAAGTGCGACCGGATCATGAACAAAGTCTTGCTGTCGTACATGACGAGACGTGACCGGGCTCATAAGAACCTGAAGGGAAAGTACATCAGGCTCAACCGCGAGCTCTTGTTCGAATGCGCCGAGGACCCGGGGAAGTGGCAGCGATCAGCGCTGTTGAGAATTACTGAGGCTTTGAAGAAGGACAAGGATGGTATTCTGGACGTCTAGGCGGAGCGCTTGACCATATTTTCTGCTGGTCTGAGAAAGTCTACCGACATATCTAGGTTATAAAACCTGCCCAAATGTTCTATAGTAGACATCCATGTTAAATGGTAGGGTTGTTGATAATTGTTTTGGTCAATATTCGCAGAAGATTGGGTCGATACGGTGCAGCTACCGCGCAAGGGATGTGGGCGGCAATATACGGGCATGTCTGAGAGGAAAGCATTGGGATGATTCGAAACAAGTTGGTTGTGCAGCTGACATATGGCAGCGGTTGTCGGCGGACCGTTTCCATCAGTCCCGGCCAACAGCTAGCCAACCACCAGTGACATCAACAAAGACGTAGTAATGCCGGTTCAAACAGACAATATCATGCAGGTATATAAACATGCTCCGCAAGATTGGACGGATCCTGCAGTTCCAGCACCCAGAGCCTCTCTTCAAGTCCGCCACAGATTCGACGAATACCTAGGTATATTGGCAGACAACAGCACAGTGTCACATCACAGTTCAATCCAAAGCAAGGCAAACAAGGGATCTGCTGAAGATGCTCGTCAATTCAATAATGGCAAGAATGATGAAAGTCAACGCTACTTCGCTCGGTTGTATTCCTGCGACAGACAAGCCATTTCTATCTCTTGCGCCCCCTCTCCTCAGAACCTAGGGACTTAACCAACTTAGACATCCCGCCTCCCAACACGCTTCGCAAAGTTTTGGCGGCGATTCATCCAAGTGTCCTAGACATTCGCCGTGCAAATAACCCCCAACATTGCAGTAAGGCACCACCCCATCCCGCATTCCATGCACCTGATGTATGTGGCATAGACAGATTAGATTGCCATATGGTGGAGTGTGTTCTATTCCTGTGGGGCTCTTGGCGACGCTCCTCGCTGGTTGCGCTGACGGTTGCGCTGGCGGTCTCGGTGATGGTGGTAGCGGGGTCGTGGCTGCGGCTGCGGTTGGGGTTGGGGGTTGCTGTTGCCGTTGCACTTGGTTGGTACTTCTATTCGAAGGAGCAATGGCTGTGACACTGGGACGAGGTTGGCTGTTAGGCACAACTCCAAGAGAAGTGTCGACATTGGGGTTGACTTGCGGATGCCAAGCGCTGGGAACACTACGCTGAAGATCGCTCTGGGGGTTGCCATAAGAATTGTAATTCGGGTTGACTTGCGGATGCCAGGCGTTGGAGATACTGGCAGGGGGAAAACCGATATCGTAGAAGATTTGCTGAAGCTCGTCACGGGTGACTGTGAATTGAGGACTACCGTGACTGCGATTGGGGTTGTTTTGCTGGATGCCGTCGTTTGGTGGTTGCCCTTGGTAAGATGGATTGTAAGACATGGTGATTGTATTTGATTTGCGAGTCCTAAAGACGTTGGGTTCAACTGAGAGTGTGGACTCTCTCCAACGTCCTTTATGTAAGGACAGGATCAATTGGTCAATGACCATGGCTGCATCATCGACAATATCTTAGGATGTTTGTGTCAACCAAATCCAGGCAGTTGCCTCTTGATTGGCCACATCGCAGGGACTTCGTGAGGGAAGGACGTCGCCCATTCATTCTTGAAAGCCACCACCGAGGAGCTGCCCACCTCCAAGCTAACCTGTACCTGTCTGTCGAAGTCAGAATCCTACAGAAGGAACATAGTTGTGGTGGCATCCTCACCATGGAATGATTGCCACACAAAAGTACCGATGTTAGCCCACATTATATTGTGAATCATACCTTGGAAAATCATTATCAGGCTTTCAAACACGGTTAAGAAGCCTTTAAAGATAATTCAAAGGTCTTCAAAGATAGTTAACAAAAGTCCTATTATTTTCATTTTTTGAGGTACAGTCTGTAACATTATATGCGCTAATTTACGTACTTCTACTATGCTAAACATGTATTTTGTGGTAAGGGTGGATGGGAAGGTACCCGACAAGGCCGGCCGGCCGGACCTGAGCCGGAGAAGCGACACGGCACGTGGCTTGGCGTTCAGCTTCATCCCGAATCTCCGTGATCATCCCGGCGTAGGTATCTTGTGAGACAATAGACAGATTGGAATTAGATGCAATTGCTTTCTTGATTGCGCTCATATCTGTAGCTGGTACCAAGCATCTATGTCTGATGAATCATCTCCATGTTCTGAGCTACCCCTGCCAGGAAGATCTTGATCGATCACTGGGCTGACACGCAGGTCTCATGAGTGGCCGGTTGGGTGGGTTCAACACCAGAAACCACCCGTCACACCAGTCTCACACCCACACCATGAAGTAGAGATGACACGACCAGCCGGCGCAGCCCGCTTCTCCAGCGACATGACACCAATTCAATATTGCTTTACTTTCACCTGAACCTTCCCTCCAAAAGTTATAAGACGCGCCATCGTGTCGACCATCTCATCTCCCCTTTTTCTCCCCAGACCCCAGCCAAAAAAAAAAGCCCCTTCCAAAACCAAAAATGGCCTTCTTCAAACTCCTCCTCAAGCTTTTCAAGCGCAAGCAATCCAAAGACGCCAAGAAGAAAAAGGACAAAAAGAATAAGCAACAACAGCAATTCGTCGCCGTCCAACAGCCCGTCCCCATCCAGCAGTCCATCCAGGGCGGCAAGGTGACCTATGTCCAGCCAGTCCCCCAGCAGCAGCAGCAGCAACAATACGTCCAAGTCCCCGTTGTCCAGCAGCAACAGCAATATGTCCAGGTCCCCGTTCAGCAGCAGCAGCAGGCCTTCAACCCCCAGGCGGCGGCCAACAAAGTCATGGCGCAGCAGATGGCTGGGTACGCCAATGGCATGACGGGGAATAAGATCCCGCAAAAGTATGTCAACCAGGGCGCGGCTTACGCGGCGGGGTATATGGGGAAGCAGAAGGGTAAGTTTCTGTTTATGAGATGAGACGGGGGGTGTGTATGCTGACAGAGATGATAGCTCCTGCCCAGGCCCAGGCCGGCGGTTACTACGCCGTGGCTGCTTAAAATCTCCATGACAACCCAAACATGACTGATGCGTGATGAGAAGCAAGGCGTTTTGGGAATTTGTGTCAGAGTTCAGCAAGACCGAAACGTGATAATAATACATCATAATTATTTATAAACAGCAAAAAAAAAAAAAAATTACCCAAAATCCAGCCCCACGATATCCAATATGTGATCATGCCCAATACATACCACCATCCACATCCTTTGACACATCCCTCCCTTCCAAACCCAAACACAGGTAGATATCATCACTCATTCCACATCCCATACAGCTGAACTCCCCAACGCGCCCCTTTCCCCACCACCATCAAACAGCATCATCCGCAAAAACCTGATAAGCAATAACCATAATCCACAACAAAAATACCGCCCCCACCAGCCCAAACGCAAAAACCGCCTGCCAGCTCTGGCAAATACTCCTCTGCTCCAACCACGCCAACGTCTCCAGCGTCTGCCCCTTGGGCATCGGACTCGCCCCAAAAACCTGGATATTGCACTCCGAACTCACGCTCCCGTCCGGCCCCCACAGCTGCACCGATATCACTATCAACCCCGTCAACCACAGCACAAAGAGAATAAAACCTCCTATCATGACGATGGAGGGGAGCAAGCGGCGCTGGTAGATGAGGTAGAGGAGGAGGAGGATGAAGAAGACTGCGAGGGAGGCGACGGTTATGTAGTAGGGGAAGTACCTGTTTTTGTGTTAATAAGGATGGGAAGGGAGGGAGGGGGGAGGACTACGGACCACGGTACCGGTAGTA